TAAGTCAGGCCTTGTGTGACAAAGGTATCGAAGTGACCCAACAAGTCTTCTATATTGGGTTGGGTCGACATCATCTTCATCTGAATCCTTCGACAGTTCCAATCTGGTCTCAGCTGGAGTCGAAGTTGGGTTGCAATCATGCATCTCAAATCTCTTGAGTATTTCGCCTGCATATCTTCTTTGGTGTATCATCAAACCTATATTACTCTTGTAGAATTCGATGCCAAGGAAACATGACAGAGCCTGACATTTCAAACTCCTCACTCAAATTATGTTTGAAGTCTTCGATCTTCTTCTTGCAACTTCCTATTATCAGCATGTCATCGACATAGAGACATAATATAAGCAATTTGCTATTGCTTCTCCTTACATATACTCCATGCTCAATCGTACACTTCACAAATTCCTTCTCTCATAAGAAGCTGTCGATTTTCTTATTCCAAGCTCTTGGAGCTTGCTTAAGTCCATACAGGGCTTTATGCAGCCTGTACACCTTTCTTTCTTCGCCTCGTTTCACAAATCCAGCTAGTTGTGCAACATAATCTTCTTCGTCTAAGGGGCCATTAAGGAATGCGCACTTCACGTCCATCTGACATGTGTGCCAATTGTTCATATTTGTTAGACCAATAACTACTCTGATTATTTCGATCCTAGCAAGAGGTGCAAAAACTTCATCGAAGTCGATTCCTTCCTTCTGAAGAAATCCTTTCACCACAAGTATCGCCTTGTGTTGAGTTACTTATCCTTTAGGATTCTCCTTCACCTTGTAAACCCACTTCACATCAATTGCCTTCTTGCCTTGAGGAAAATCGACAATTGACCAGGTGTTGTTGACTTCGATGGAGTCTAACTCCTCATTAATTGCTTTTACCCACTTAGAATCTTTCAATGCCTCAGTTGCATTGATTGGTTCAACATTTGCATAGAAAGCATAATGTACCAGCTCACCTTCTTCATCGACCACATCATCTAATGTAATCACACATTCTTGCAACCTTGCAGACATGTGTCTTATTCTTCAAGGTCTGCTTGGGCCAACTTCATCTCTTACTTGTTCTTGTCGAACTTCTCTTTCGACTTCAGTGGCTGGTTTTTCATAAAATATTCTCATCGAATCCTTCTTGACATTCTCAGTCCAATCTCATTCTTTAAGCTCATATATGATCACGTCCCTTCTGATCACTACCTGCTTATTCACTGTGTCGAACAACTTGTAACCTCCAGCCGAATGATATCCTATCAAGATCATCTAATTCGACTGGTCATCAAGCTTCCTTCTTAACTGATTTGGCACATGTCTATGTGCTATAGATCCAAACACCTTCAATTGATTGAGGCTAGGCTTGACACCAGACCAACATTCTTCTGGTGTGATTCCTTCAAGCTTCTTTGTTGGACATCTGTTTAATATATATGTTGCTGTCAAAACCGCTTATCCCTATAATTCTTTGGGTAGATGCTTTCCATTTAACATACTTCTCACCATGTTTATGATGATTTTGTTCTTTCTTTCTGCAATTCCATTTTGCTATGGAGTATAGGGTGGCACTACCTCATGCACAATCCCTTATTTTTCACATAATGCATTGAACTCTTTCGACACATACTCTCCACCACCATTAGTCCTCAGAATTTTCAGCTTTCGAGCACTTTGTCTTTTGACCATAGATTTGAATCTGGAAAGTACCTCGATCACATCACTTTTCTTCTTGATGAGGTAAGTCTATAGCTTTTGACTGTAATCATCTATGAATGTAACAAAGTATCTGTTGCATGCAATCGAAGTCACTTGGATTGGACCACATACATCAGAGTATATGACTTCTAAAATTACCTTCGACTTCCTTCCTGAATCCTTGCTGAAGCTATTCTTGTGTTGTTTCGAATGAACACACTCTTCACAAATTTCACTTGGAAAGTCTATTTCAGGTAATCCTGAAGTCATATTTCTCCTCTTTAGCTCTCTGATGTCATTGAAGTTAAGATGGCCTAGTCGAAAATGCCATAACCATTCATCTTTGCTGGCTGCAGTTACTAGGCACTTGTGCTCCATCACATTGATTTCAATCTTGAAGGTCCTATTCTGAGACATTAGAGCCTTCAAGATCAACTTACCATATACGTCGAGAACTCTCATCATCTTGTCTTTGATTGACACCTTTTAGTTCTTTTCGACTAGCTGTCCTATACTAAGCAAATTATTCTTCATGCCTGGTATGTACAACACATTGGAAATTGTTGACCTCTTGCTATCTTTCCTCATAATTAAAACATCGCCAATACCTTCAGCTGCAAGAGTATTGCCATTTGCAAATTTCACCATGTTTTTCGACGAGGGCTTCATGTTGATAAACCAATCTTTCCTTCTAGTCATGTGTGATGAGCATCCTGAGTCCAAATACCACTGGTCCTGGAATCTCTCTTTGTCTCTCGTTGTGACCATTAGCAACATCTCTTCTTTTTCATGCTTCGCCATCTTTGCATCAGTTTCTTGATTCTTCTTCTTTTCTCGACATTCAATAAAATAGTGACCATATTTTTGACAATTGAAACACTGAATGCGATTTTTGTCAAGCTTTCATCTACCACCTTTTCCTCTACCTGCAACACCACCTCTTTGGTTGCCTTGGTTCCAGGGTTTTCTTTGATTCGACCAGTTTCCTTGCTGTTGATTTTGACCAGTCGAATTGCTGTAGCCTCCTTTACCTTTGTTGCCATTCCAGTTTCCTTTGCCTTTCCTTTTCTGACTGCGCTTGCAAAGCCATATCACTCTTCGACTTTCCTGTAGCTCTCTCAGCCATCCTTTGTTCATGAGACTCAAGCGTTCCTTAAAGCTCTTCCTTCGTCAATGTTGACAAGTCTTTTGACTCTTCTATGACTACTACCACATGGTCGAACTTTGGAGCCAACGACCTCAAGATCTTTGCAACAACTGATCTTGATGTCAACACTTTTCCACATACCTTGATTTGATTCACTAGCTTTGTAACTCTAGTGAAGAAATATGATATACTTTCACTTTCTTCCATCTGAAGCAATTCATAGGTTCTATTGTGAGTTTGTAACCTCACCTCTTTCACCTTTTCTGCGCCTCCAAACGACTTTTCAATAATCTTCCACACTTCCTTCGCCAATTCTACATCACTAACCTTTTCAAAATTATCTGGATCTGCACATCGATGGATTATAAAGAGAGCTTTATAATCTTTCTTCTTCAATTCTTTGAATGCAGTCTTTTCTTGATCCGTCGCGTTTTCTGCAAGCGGTGCTACTCCTCCCTTCACAAGATCCAAAAGATCTTGATAACAAAAAACCACCTTAATCTGCTTGCATAAATTCTCATAATTATATTTCTTGAGAATTGGAAGGTTTGCCGGAAAATGACCGTTTGAATGATTTATCGCCATCACGATTTTCCTTCCTTGAATCGTAACTGGAGCTCTGATACCAGATGTTAGAAATTCAACCAAAACCTATGGAGAATTTCACTCAATCAATCTTGATCTCAAGATTGTTTCAACTCACGTAGTGACAATGAAAAAAAGTTTAGAAAGAAAAAAAGTAAACGTTGGAGAAGAAGAATATGAACAATTTTCTGCAGAGAACTCTCTGCCCAAAAACTGTAGAAATTCTGTTATTTCACTTGCAACTGCAAACTGTGAATTACAAAATATGATGAGATGAGATCTTTACAATATAAAGGTTTCTCCCTATTTATAGATTTAGGTTAGCTTGCGCCACAAGGCAAATTTCAAACTATAAAATCCCAAAAATATCTAATCTAATCTTTGTAAATCAAATCTGATCTTTGTAAATCAAATCTAATCTTTCTAAAACAATGAATTACATATTTAACATTTATACCATATACTGCGATTGATATTTATATTATATTCGATTGATCTTTGTACCATTAGAGGGTGTAATTCTAGATTGATTATCAACCGTGTAAGTAGTAATCGTATAATATAGAATTGCGTTGTTTTATCTTGGAAGTGTTGTGGTTAAATGACTGCTTTGCACAACTTTAAACTGTGTCACGAAATGTCTTAAAGAGAGTGACCCAGTCTACTCAACCTGATAATTTTTCAATGAATTTTTAAAAATGTGAAATAATAGAGTCTATTTTTAAAACATGTTAAAAAATTTCCCTATTCTTTTTTACCAAATCTATTTTGTTTAGTTATGTGATGTCAAACTCTCTATCCTCCACACGCCATCCGAACTCCCTGACCTAAATTATATTAGCAGATAAATTGGATGAATTTTTCTTAATAGATCTATAACTGCCCACCCCTACAATACTTGAATAAAAATTGAAATTATAAGCGAGCCTTTCACCTTGACCAGTCACAATTAACTCTCTCATTCTTTGTTCAATCCTTACAATTATTCTATCGACAGTTACATTCAAATATTCCATTTTCTATTAAAAAAGAAACTTTGGCTGAGTCAGTGCGTGAATCAGTTGATGCATCATCCATGTGCAATGTGTGTGCATTTCCATAAGACATGGCACAATACTTGGCAATGACATAATAACACCCACCTTTCAATTCTGACTTTATAACATGCATAATATATTCTTAATTTGACAAATAAATACATAGCTGCTTGTGAGAACTTATTTCTTTTCCTCTATTTCATGACTAACAAACAAAGTCAATGCAGACAAGTTAGGTAGTTGCATGTTACTACTAACCTTAATTAAATCAAATATTCAAACAAGTAATAGATAGTACGGAATAGTAAACCTTGTATTATTTCATTTGATAGCCTATCATTCAAACAACATGAGTATATATACTAATACATGTTGTCATGTTGTACATGATAGTACCGCTAAATCTCATTATTTCCCAATAGTTTATTGAATTTCAGCTAGTTGTTTCTATGGGCTAAACCCCCTAACTGCACCTATAAATTCTCATGAGAGTCTCCTCTTTTTAGCAACGAAAATCAAACTGTTCCTTATTTAACTTATCAGAGAAATTAAGAGGATGGAAAAATTCATTATCTGTGTTCTTATATTGCTGATGAATTTACTCACTTCAGAACTCAGAGTAGTAGAATCTGCTGTTTGGCAAGAAGCTCATGCAACTTTCTATGGTGGAAGTGATGCCTCAGGAACAATGGGTACATTTCAACTTCTTGTTCATCACCTTTATCATAATAAGTATATAAATTAATAACTTAGTTTTGATTAACTTTTGTAGGTGGTGCATGTGGATATGGAAATCTGAACATAGATGGATATGGAATAAAAACAGCTGCATTGAGTACTGCTTTGTTTAATGATGGCAAATCATGTGGTGGTTGTTATCAGATTGTTTGCGATGCAAGAAAAGTCCCTCAATGGTGTCTCAGAGGCACTTCCATTACTATTACTGCTACAAACTTTTGTCCACCAAACTTCGCACAACCAAATGACAATGGTGGTTGGTGTAATCCCCCAAGACCACACTTTGACATGTCTCAACCTGCCTTTGAGACTATAGCCAAGTATAGAGCCGGGATCGTTCCCATTTTGTATAGAAGGTATGTTTAATATGTTGTTAATTAATGTCATTTTCTTATCAAAGATGTGTCTGGTGACCGCCATATGTCACTGTCTAACATCAACATAACGTGTTACCGTCAGTGTCATGTCCATGTCTCTTATGATGATTACATAGGTGTCCATATCAATTATATCTATAAATTTATATGCATTATGGAAGTATTTGTTGTATATTTGTGCAGAGTTGGGTGCAAAAGAAGTGGAAACATAAGATTTACCATAAATGGGAGAGACTATTTTGAGCTGGTGCTTATAAGCAACATAGGGGGAGGTGGAGAGATATCGAAAGTATGGATAAAAGGGTCAAAAAAGAATAAATGGGAATCAATGTCAATGAATTGGGGTGCTAATTGGCAGAGTCTGAGTTATCTAAATGGTCAGAGTTTATCATTTAGAGTTCAACTCAAGAATGGAAAGACTCGTACAGCTCTAAATGTAGCACCTTCCAGTTGGAGCTTTGGCCAGTCTTTCAAAAGTAATGTTCAGTTTTGATTATCAACAAATTACAATGACTTATATTGATATGAAATATGAGTCAATGATAGTGCATTCTTCTATTTTGGTCATTTATTTATGTAAAAGTTATATAGTATATTGTAGTAGTTTGGTGTAAGGTATTATTCCAAGTGGTTGTGGCTCAGCAATATATTTTAGTATTTGCTATGAAGCCTGCCAACTTTAGTATAACAATATGTGTATGTCATCAGAAGCATTTTTAAATCATATTCTGCTGTTTATCTCAGCCTATACATGTATCAGTGTTGGAATCATTTATCTTCAATAATAATAATAATAATAATATTATTATTATTATTATTATTATTATTATTATTATTATTATTATTATTATTATTATTATTGTTGTTGTTGTTTTGAATCAGATGTATTTAAACAAAAAATAAAACGGTTTTTTAATGATTAAGAAACAAACAAGGGTTAAAATTAACAAAGAAGACAAGGTAAAACAATAAGGAACATCAAGGATCGGTTATAAACTGCTATTATTTTATTTCTCTTAAAACAAGATTACAAATATACAAGAATAAAAAAATAACCTCTCTTTCTTGAAATTAAGATTTTATCTTCCTATTTTTCCTTATATCAAGATTGAAAAACTAGCTTCCTATTTATAAAAAAAATAGCACACTAACCTAATTGACTTTTTAACAGTTATCCATTACAAACTAACTTAGGGTACAAGCTAACTTAAACACTTGGGCTAACAAGTAAGGCCCAATCCAATATGCTAACAACCTAGCAATATTGACTAATGCATGTTAGAACAAACTTCGACTACAACATGCATTACCTTCGACAGTAGCATGCGAACAGACTTCGACCTCATGTTTAACTCCTGTCAAACCAGAAACTACCCTTCGACCATACTAGAGTTCGATCCAACATCTCACAATTATTATTATTATTATTATTATTATTAGTAGGTAGGAATATTCCAAAGGGACAAATGTTCAATAAGATCGACTCAATCTAAAGTCTTAATTTAATCAAAGCATCCATTAGATGATGTATAGGTGTACCATCACCTTGGGAAGTCACATAAGAACACGACTCTCACCTCATCTCAATTATCAGTTTGCATTTAACGGTCGCTCAAAATCCACGGGTTAACCACAAACGATTCTAACCGTGTCCATAATATAAGTGTGTCCTCGAGTCACACTTGTAATTCTATTTTCAAGAGGACAAATATTGGACCAGATGCCTAAAACAATATGTACAACTGATTTATGACAAATGATAGATTCTGGAGCAGATGTGAGACACGATGTCTGGGATATTACACACCAGAAAAACCATTTTTATTACCAAATTATCACAACTTAACTTATACAAGATGATGAAGCAAAGAAGTAATAAAGAACACAAGAGATTGATAATCCTATTCGGTGATTTATGTTAATCATATGTTTTGTGGTATTTTATATATTTGTGATGTTTTTATATGTTTTTGTGGTGTTACACAATGTTTTATATATGTTATGTTAGTCATATTTTTTGTGGTGTTATATATATTTTTAAGGCTTAATGTATCCTTTGGTCCTTTAACTTAATTTATGGTTTCACTTTAGTCTCTTATTTAATAATCGTTCATTATAAGTCCTTTAAATGTTATTCCGTTAGTCATATTGGTCCTGGCCGTCAACTTTTGTCAAATTCTGTTAAGTTTTGTATGCGTGGCACCCCAGCTGTACTAAATTAGATGACATGGAATTGTTTTATTTTATATTGATTTAAACATTAAAATTTTTAAAAACAAAATAAGTTGAAACAATCTTCTTCTCTCTTCCTCAAACCCTAACAACCACCTCTCTCACTTCTTCCTCTCTCTCGCTCTCTCTCTCTCTCTCTTTCTCTCACTTGATTTTGTTGACATTTTCAAGAGCTATTCTGATTTCATTTTTGTATTGTGCAAATCTCAGAGCTATGAGGTATGAATCGTTTTGTGCACTGATTTTGTGATACTTACATCTAACGTTCTATTTTCCAGATCTCAAAGCTATTTTAGATCTCATGCCTAATTTCATTTTCATTTACAATACTACTTGGTGATTAAATTGTGGGTTTAATCTGGTTTGAATTTTAGGGGTTTCTTTGTTTAAAAAAATCAATATTTTTAGATTTGGAATCATGAGTTTTTGTTGTTTTGTTATTTTGTGAAAATTAGTTTTACAATGATTTAGTTTGTATGCGAGTCGAGAATATGTTTGTTTTGTAGATTTGCTCGGTTTTGTATCATGATGATGCTACAGAGGTGGAAAACTCCTATTGCTAAAGCATGCTAAAAGGTGAAAATTATTTAATGAATAAAGCTTTTTTCATGACTCCAAGTTGTGATTTGCACTACTTTTAGAGGAATTGATGAAATTGCTTCTGTTAGCTTTCTATTTCCTCTACATTATACAAGTGGTGATTTGCACTAGAATTAGAACTACATATTTATGTAAATTTTTAAAAGAATGATTAAATATGTTGTTAGTTACTATGCTATATTTTTATTATATTTTCATGATAGCTTTTGTTTTCTTTGTTTTTTTTCCAGTTTGCAATTTATAATTTTGTCTAACTCTATTTACAATCTTACACTGATAGGGATGACGAATAATGAATATCCTTCCTGCAGCAAAAAGAATGGATCTCTAATAAATGTGAGAATGCAGATTATTAGAGTATATGTGATTGATATAATGTTTATTAATTCTTACTAGAGTTTTTTAGATGAAGAAGCATTGAAGGTAACTAAACTAAATCCAAATAAATTATTTTACTAATTTAGATATATGTTATCAGTATAATGTTTCTTTAATGTTTGGTTTTACTTGCTAAGTAGATGAATATTCAAGTGACTCTAGACCACCTCTAATGTTAAACATGCTATGTGTTTATGATTTATGAATTAGAAGTGGAAAAAGTGCAAGTCATAGAATAGAGTTGAACCTGTTATGATTTATACTAATGCGTTGAAATATGTTATTGAAAACTTGCAGAATTGTTTAATCTCTTAGGAGAAAAGAGTAATTGGAAGCTATGTTGCAAAGTTTATACCATGTTCAGAAGGAGGTTATATTGTGATAATCCATAAGACGAGAAACGTTGTTTCATGTGAAGAACCAGATCTCTACAACAACTACAAAAATGTAAAACATGTAAAAGTTGTTTTGACCATTGATAATTCAAGTTCTAAGAAGAATAAGTTCTTGTAGTTGTGTTTGTGTACACCTTAATTCATTTTGGTTTAATGTCTTACTTTGAATAAGTAATGTATCAAGATTTTGGTTTAATGCCATTATATTCAAGATTCTGCTAATATAAAAAAGTTTTAATTTGATACTTTAACTATATATAAGGTTTTAATTTAGTCCCTTTATTAAATTGCTGACTCACTTGCCATATTGTCATGCCACATATGCATAACTTAACATTTTTTCATAAAATTTAACAGAAAGGACCAACTTGACTAACAGAATAATTTTTAAGGGACTAAAATGTAACCTTTATTAAATAAGGGACTAAAGTGAAAACTGAAATTAAGTTAAAGGACTTCAATACTAATTAAGCCTATTTGTAATTAAAACTTTGCAGCACTTTGAAACATGTGTTTGTAACTAGTATATTACATTATCCTTTTTCATGTAGTCCACATCCACCTGAAGTTTGCTACACATTCATATAGATAACATTAATTAATATATATTTAAGGTTTATAATGATTAACATTTACTGATTTTCTATGGTAATATGGTCTAATTTGCTACACATTAATATAGATAACATTTAACGATTTAATATTAATATATATATATATATATATATATATATATATATATATATATATATATATATATATATATATATATATATATATATATATATATATATATATATATATATATATATATATATATAGTCTAATTTACGATGATTTAACATTAATATACATATTTAGTAATATGTTATCTTATGAGATATATTTAAGGTTTACAATGATTTAACATTTACTGATTTTTCTAGACACTTTATAGTGTTTTGACCTTTTCAATTTTCATTATATAATACAACATAATTCATCAAATAAAACAGTTCAGTAAAAAAAATTATTGATTTAACATTTACTGATTTTCAATAGTAATATGATTTAACATGTTTGTGTTTTGGCTGAGTTAGGATTCCTTAAAAATGTTATCTTATGAGATAGATTTAAGGTTTACATAATTTTCAATAGTAATATGGTCTAATTTACTACACATTCATATATATAACATTAATATATATTTAAGATTTACAATGATTTAACATTTACTGATTTTCTATGGTAATATGGTCTAATTTGCTACACATTCATATAGATAACATTTAATGATTTAACATTAATATATATGGTCTAATTTACAATGATTTAACATTAATATATATTTAGTAATATGTTATCTTATGAGATAGATTTAAGGTTTAAAATGATTTAACATTTACTGATTTTCTAGACACTATATAGTGTTTAAACTTTTTTAGTTTTCATTATATAACACAATATAATTAATCAAATAAAACAGTTCAGTAAAAAAATTACTTCCTAACAGTTTAGTTCGGTTCTAAATAACAGACTGTTTGTCAAACGATTAATTCAGTTCAGTCTATTTTAAATAAATCGTAATAGTTAAACAACGACAAAGTAAAGTTAAGGTCAAGACTAGAGATGACTAACTTTGATATATAGCCATCTTTGCAAAAACCAGGATGATATATTGCTTTACTAGTCTTTATTCTTTGATATTATTCTTTGATATATGTCCACAAGACCAAGAATTAAGATATGTTGTTGTACTAGCAACACATACTTAGGCCTTAAAATATTGTTCTAAATTTGAAATGTGTTCACCATATTGTTTTGACATCCACATGATAAAAAAAAGTAATCTTTCATCTTAGATATTTAAGTAAAATTTACACTACGCCAGAATTGACTTTTAGCAGCG